AAGCAAAAAACCCTCAACCCTAAACCCTAAACCCAATTAAATGACATACATATCTACCGATGCAGACGCACAGAGACATGTGGGTATCATGTTGAAGCTCCGCGGCAGCACTGCGGCTGCTTTCCACAAACGGAGCACGACGGGCACTCCCCATTCAGCCTCTCAGTCTGTCAGGTTTAGGGTTTACGGTTTAGGGTTTGCTGTGATCCTGTGTTTCCCAGGACAGACTGCGGGAGTAGCGAACGGCACAAGGCAAGCCTGCGCCAGAGGGCCAAAGGGCTTTCATGTCAAAGGGGGGAAGTTCAGGGCTTGTAGTTCTTCAGACAGGGAGTCTGCGCCAGATGTCTTGCGAAGCATTGTGACGATCATGATGCGACTTGCTAGTTTGTGTTACTCTTTATGCCTACCCGCGTATTGCAATTGGCGTTGCGATCGTGGTCGCCACCGCAGTGGTGCTATGCGTCCGGTCGTTGTCGCCGCCGGCGTCGTCGTAGCCGTCGTAGGATGGTCGTCAGTGATGTAAACAGTGTATAAGCATACAGTCGGCAAAACACGGTCTACAGTTACTCTCATACTTGCACAAGGCAGCGCGTGCGCAACGGAACACACGCTGTTATGACGACGTGATGCGAGGGTTCTCGGGTCCGTAAGGTCCACGCCAAGATGTGTCGCCGCTGTGATGATGATGACGACGATGACTAGAGCCGTTACTGTTTTCGGTGCTACTATCAACGTATCCCGCAGCTAGGGGACATGAAGTTACTACGACGCAGGGACATATTCTTCCAGCTGTTCCGGAAGAAGAAGCCGTTTCGAGCTTAGTTGCTTAAGATGTTTAAGTCTATGGTTTAAAGAGGGGCTTCAGGGTTCATTTCCGCTGCATGAAGTGAGCCTCCACGAAGGAAGTGATTCTGACGTTCGCTGCAGCGTCATCAGAAAAGGTGCATGCTGACGTGTTGCAAGTTGCTTGCTTGCTAGCTCTCATGTTCGTTTCATGTTTGCTTGCAAAAGCCTGCAACAGCAACCTCAGTGGTAGGCTTCGAGGCATCCGGAGTTTCGGATTCCGGCAAGCCGTGCCTAGTTGGATCAAAGAGTCGTAACTGTAAGCTTCGAATATGTCCAATTCAGTCATACCCATCCGCTGCGCGACTCCTCCGTGATGCTGCTCAAGGGTATGAGGGAGACATGAAGGGTATAGATCTCATACACCAGCGCAGAAGCAGCTACCTTACATCGTTCCCCTCGTAAAACCCTGTTTGGTGCCCTTCCGACGGATTCGGCACTGGGACCCATGATTGCTGTGGTTCTCAGTCTGGTAGTAGTTCGGCACGCTGTTTCAGATCCTCGAATGAGTGTAGGCAGACATCTTATTGTGCTTCATAGGGTTTTGCACCGTGTTTAGGCTTTTACAAGGGCTGCATAGTGGATTTATGGGTTGCATAGGGGTTTCAGGGTTCTTTTTGGGAGGATTTCGGACCGTTTGGCTCTTGCCGAGCGCTAGCCATGCCGAGCGATGACGATGGACTCGGCCCGACCGATGGCGCGGTTCCCAGCGTTTGGGTTTGGGTTGGGCAAAGTTTAGGGTTTAGGATTTAGGGTTAGGTAAAATTTAGGGTTTAGGGTTTTGGGTTAGGTAAAATTTAGGGTTTGAAGGCTTGGGGTTACTGCGTCGAAATACATAGCAACTTGCCCCCTCTTTCCGCAATACAACTATACAGTATAAGATGCACCAGGGCCATATTCTAATTGTATTGCGGCCCCTGAATCAGGTTAGATTTTAGGGTGTGCAGTTGATTCGGGACTTGATGATAAGCCCTGCAGTAAGGGTGTGAGTTTCCCTTCAAGGGCTTCTTTAAAGAATTCTTGAAATGTTCCAAAATCGAATATATAAGACGTTTTCGGTGTTTCGCGGGCTCGTTTGTGTTTTTGTCCCCGCTTTGGTGCGGCGTGGCTTAGCTCGGCTTGCAAAAAGCCTATTCTGCCTGCCTCGCTCAGTGCTTGGATGCTTCATACTGATTGTAGACACTGAACCATAGACCCTAGACGCTCAAACCCCCAAAACCCTCCCCTAAACCCTGCTCGCCCTGTACCCAAACTCCCTTAAAGCTAACCGAAACCCCAAAAAGCCGCAAATAACTAAGCCCCAGACCCCTAAGCTAAAACCCCTCATCCCTACAAGCAGTTAGTATAGGGTTTAGGGTTTAGGATTTAGGGTTTAGGGTTTAGAGCTAGAGGCTGGAATCTTGAGCCGAGTGTACCCCCCCTCTACCCCTGAAACCCTACTGAAATTTGGAAGACCCCTGGTTTTTGGGGCTTACACTCTGCTCGGAGATAGAGGCTCTGTTCTAAAGCCTTCAGGTGCAAGAACCCTAAACCCAGCTCAAAGTAGTACAACTTGGTCTCGGAGAGCCGTGAGATCTTCCTTCCTCCAAAACGCCTAAAGCATCACATCTATCTGGGTGGTTGTCAAAATTATGGTCCCGTTTCGGGTCCTTATTATAATACGGCACCTGATATTTCGGGTGCCCAAAAAGGGACCATCATTTTGACAACTACCCATCTATCTATCTATCTAGCTAGCTAGCTAGCTAGCTATCTATCTATCGATCTAGCTAGCTAGCTAGCTAGCTATCTATCTATCTGTATACACATACTTGTAGGACTCTGCAACAAGGTGCGTTCTGGTAGAAGTTTAGGGTGGAAGCCCTTTCCTCAATGTTTCTGCAGACTGCGAAGATCCTATAACACCCTATAGGCATTATAAAGCCCTTAGAGTTTAGGGTTTTGGCTTAACCCGTCTAGAATGCTGCACAACCATTAGAAAAGCCGACGGAGGACCCGACTGGGAGAATGGGTTCAGCGACGCAATACGGCAGTTTGAGGCGTCACGGGGGAATTGCTTTGGACTCACAGTTTAATATAGGGGCCTTAACACTAGAATAGGGTTTGGGGGTCCATTATACTATACTTTCAATTAGGAACCCCCCCAAACCCTATTCTCATCATAAAGGCCCCTACATTACGTTTGTGTTCGCTTGTTGAGGGCTGCATTCCTTTTAGGCGGTTTGGTGTTTGGGCGTTGAGCCGACGGGCCCAAGTAGCGGCTATCATGTGCTCCTCCATAAGTTTCTGCGTCTATCCTAAACGCAAGTACCTGAGTATTGCCTCCTCTTGGACCCTGAACCCTATACTAAGCCCTAAACCCCAAAACCCTGAACGCCAAAACCCTAAACCCCAAAACCCCAAGCCCGCAAGGACTTCAGTGTGTGTTAGACATCAGGATCTCACTAGACCATCTTTCACTTCCATTCAGAAACGATCGGGAGATTTGGTAAGCAGTTCTAGGTACCCCAATTCGGATCATGACTGATTAGCTAAGTCCGCCAGCCTACTTATAAGACGAAGTTTATTTTTTTGAGTCCTTTGTTCTGCTAAGCAGGGCTCCAGCAGTTTACTGAGAAAAGCATTGTTGTCGCAAAACATGTTGCACTCCAGCACTGAGCAACTAGATCCATGATCAGCTTGTCCTGCTCTTCATGCGCCGAGTTTCGCTGAGTTCCTAACAAGGCCAAGACAGCTGCAATGTGGGGCCTGAAAAATTCGTAGTTCAATACAGCAGTGCCTACATAGCCGTTCGATAAAAACCCTACACCCTAAACCCTAAACCCTAAACCATAAAGACCGCAAAATCTCGTTCGAATCTCAGGGCCTCTATAGTGTCCCTGAGCCAGGGGGACTCCAAATGCCTGGACCCGAGATCAAACGCCTCATTCAGCTGGTTTAGGGTTTAGGGTTTAGGGTTTAGGGTTTAGGGTTTAGGGTCCCCAAAGCCCCCCAAAACCGCGCTGACTGCAGACGGCTGATTGGGCCGAGGTAGCACTGACAAACGTTCCCCCACTTTGAAAACAGCTCCCCTGCTGCAATGGAGTTCGGCTACTGGAACATTCGCGGTCTGGGGGCGCCGTTCCGCATGATCTTCGCGTACAAGGAGATCAAGTATGAGGACAAACAGTATCTGGCACGCCCAGCAGTGCCCTTATGCCGCCTAAACCCTAAACCGCGTATGCCCCTTCTATTCAGACTAAGCCAGGGTGTCCTTATACTTTTATGGGATCACTGGAATATCCAGGTTCCTCAACCTGAAGCCCTGGATCAATTTTAGAGGCCGGAATAGTTACCACGTGCCATTTTGGGGAGCTCCTTGTGGCAGTTATAGTACAGCATACACCAAACGATGGTAACTAGTCCGTCCCCTGTATCAGGTATGCCAAAGCCCTAAACCCTAAACCCTGAAACCCTGAAACCCTAAACCCTAAAACCCTAACCCCTAAACCCAAAACAACCCTAAACCCTAAACCCTAAACCCAGGTATGCAACGTTCGACTCTTGGTTCAAGGGCCGCAAGCCTGCCATCCTGGAGATGACTCCGCTCGCGAACCTCCCATACCTCGTCGACGGTGAGAGGTGCATATGCCACTTACCCAAACCCCCAAAAGGATCTAAAAAACAGATCCCCTAAGGGGGTTCCTATAAAGTACCCTTTAGTAGTTAGGGTCCCTAATTAGGGGATCTATTTTTTTAGATCCTTTTGGGGGTCTGGGTAGGGGATCCTTAAAGGGTTCCTTTTGAAGGGTTCTAAAAGGGATCTACAATATAGGGTTCTAAAGTAGGGGCCTTGTAGGGTTTAGGAGCCCAATAGGAAAACTTCAAACTTTTTTGGTAAATTAAACCCCTAAACCCTTCAACCCTAAATCCTAAACCCTGCTAATAGAAAAGTTTAAAAACGTTTTGGGGGTCAGGGTACACTGGACAGCTAAGGCCAGACGAACGCCATCTTTCTCTACCTAGGAGAGAAGCTCCTTACTTCTCCAAAACCTAAACGCTTTAAAATTGTTTTGGGGTTCTTATAATTTTGGTAGTACTTTGAAAGTTAACCTTTAAACTCTTTGGGCTTTTGTAATTTAGCCGTAACTTGAAAGTTGACCTTTAAACTTTTTGTCTTTTATCAAGGTAGTAGTAACCTGAAAGTTAACGTTTAAACTTGTTTGGTTTTTTAATTTAGTAGTAACTTGAAAGTTTCCCTTTGAACTTTTTGGGTTGTAATTTAGTAGTAACTTGAAAGTTTAACCTTTTATTTCCCTGGCTTAGTGGGGAAGTAAGGCTCGGTCTAAATGGCCAGACCGAGGCACAGAAGCTTCGCACCTCCGAGCTGCTTTGCGAGATCTACGATGTGCGCAACTGGGTTCTTGTTAAGGGACTTAATTTAAGTTACCATATCAAGGAAACCCTATTATTTACTATAGATCCCTATTATGGTAACTTTAATTAAGTCCCTTAACAAGAACCCAGGCAATGGCATGATCGATCTCTCTTACCCTTCCCATCAAGTCTGCCGCAGCGAGGAGGAGTACAGAGCGAA